AAGTTATCTTCTCCTTGAAAATACATACTTAAAGTCTTTTTTTAACAATGTCTGTGTACTCCATGTTGTCCTACAGCTTGCTTTTTCTTTTTTTAACTTGACAAACTATTAGGAATACGCTTCCGCGTCAGCTGGCCCGGCCGCAGCCCATGTTACTTGCTGATGTCACTCACGTGTCATTCCGGAGCACTGGGCGTGGGTGGACCTACTGGTCATGCCGTGGACTCCTGGATCGTGGGCACTTAGGTCATCTCCATTGTTTTACTGTAACATACAAGGGCTGTCCGGAAAGTATCCAGCCGTGTAATAGGAAAAATTATATTAACAATGGCTGGATACTTTCCAGACAGCCCTCGTAGATTGCTAAAGCAAGCATTTTCTACGTTTATTTCTAAGCACTTTTGACAGTAATTCTGTAGGATGAATTCCTGAATGTAAAGTTGGTCTTCAGAGGACATGCCAACCTTAAAGTTTGACAGGCACGACCCAATCGACCTTGAGAAGGGTATGCCAGTTTGTGCCCCTCTCACAGGTGGAAGGTTGCCCACCCCCGGCTAATACCTGGATGCGACTGATTACTTCTGTTAACGGAAAAGAACCCAAACTCTGTAAAATAATTTAAAGACGTTTATTCTGAGCCAAGTATGAGGACCGTGGCCCAGAGCCACACCCAAGAAGCCTTGAGCAAGTGGACTCGCTGTGGTTGGGTGACAGTTCGGTTTTATACGTTTCAGGGAGATGGATTACATGTAAAGTCATAAGTCAGTACATGGGAGGTGTACATTGGTCTGTCCCCGAAAGGCAGGACATCTCTAAGCAGGGGATTACAGGATATAGGTAGGCTTAAAGATTCTTTGATTTGTAATTGGTTAAAGAAATGAAGGCTTGGAATGTTTTAAGTTGAGGAATTCCGTTAATCAGAGACAAGCCACGGGACATATACCCAGACTCAAGGGATCGTTAAGGACATTGAGGGCCTGCGGGTGTGGTTCAAGCTTTGTCTTGCAAGGAAATCTCCAAGAAGGAAGGGGGGCTTTTCATGGCCAGCAACTCAGCTTTAGGATATTTCTGGGGTCCCCTTGGCCAAGAGAAGGTCCATTCAGTCGGCTGGCGGGGGGTAAGATTTTATTTTATTTCACACTTTGATTTTTGCTAATTCGTTAGGCAAAAGTGTTATTTAATATGATCGTGCCGCTCTTTAGAGAGCTTGAATGTCTTTGCGTAGTTGTGACGACCACCAGGACTTCTTCCTCTGCTCTTTGTCATTGATCTCTGGGAGCTCTTGGCACCATGGACAGTCCAGCCTCTCGTCTGTTCTGTACGATGCAGATATTTTCTTAACCAGAGACTGGAAATGGGATCAGTCTTGCAGCAGTCTTGCTTTTGAACGACTCTTACAGAGCTCAGAAAAATCACAGTTGAAGGAAATTGTTCCTTCATAGCCCTGCCATGCTGGCGACAGGAGCAACTTTGCCCAAATGTCCCTGAAGGGCAGAGCACTGTCCCCAAGCCACACACAGAGCTATGCAGGTTGTGGCGCGGGTGTTGGGGGAACCTTTCAAACCCAGAAACCAGATGCCAAGAATGCAGTATTGACGTGCCCCGACAATTCCATCCTGAGGTTATTGGCGGCTTTTTATCTCAGTCTGGAGTGAGTAGGGGTGGAGGATTGTGATTAAGAATATTTAGTATCCTAAAGTTTTTATTCTAGGCATTTTTGCCGTTTAAAAATCAAACCATTAGCACTACCCAAAATAAAGTAGTTTCATCTGGTTCAGCATGTCTACATGTCTGTTTTGCCCTCTCCTCCAACACACGCGCACATGCACATACATGCACACTCCACACACACACACACACACACACACACACACGCACACGCACACGCTATCATTTCAGCCCGAGGTTGCGCAGCTCTCGTGAGGTCTGACCTTGCCACTGTCCCGCAGACTCTCCCGGCATGCCCCCGAGTGCCAACGCTCACCACCTGTTCAGAGGATTCAGTTTTGTGGCCTCAAGCCTGGTCCAGGAGCCCTCGCAGCAAGACCTGCACAAAGTTCCAGTCCACCCGATCGTGCAGGTAACTCCGCTTGCCTCCCCTGGGTCGGGGGTAGCACGGCTGACGCTTGACCCTGGTGTCCGCCATGGCCTCCAACAGCTGGGTGCTGGGTGCCAGGGTGGACGGACGACAGTCTTCTTCCCGACATTCCCCTTGCTCCCGAGCGTCTTCCGTGGCCGTCCCCCACAGTGGTCCCCAGGGTGGTCTGAGCTCGCTCAGTACCTACTTCACATTTGTCTTCAAGAAGGAAGAGAAGTCCTAGAAGATGTCACCACAGTGTGTTTGTGGCTGGGGACTCGGGCGTCTCTGCTACATGGAGTCCAGCCAGTGCCCCAAGATGGCACTTTGATCTGTGGGTGTCATTTTCCTATCACGAAACACAGTAGTCTTTGGGAGGTCCATGGAAGGTTGCATTTTTATAAGGAGTTTCCCCCTTGTAAGTGTAACCAGAATTACACTGCTTACCCTAGGAGAACTCTAGGAAGGGATTATAATTAAACTCACCGAAGAACAGAGTCAGGGTGAACTGGATGCCCTTGGATTTCCATGCTGCCTCTCTCCCTGTGGCCTTTTGGAAAAATACAGCCAGTGTAAAGTGGACGCTTGCTGTGACAGTGTGCACTGCCTTGGTGGCCTCTTGCCTCTGTCAGGAGCGGGTGGCGCGGGGCTGTGGACGCAGGTGGAGCAGGCTGAGCCTCGGACTTCCTGCAGCCGTGTTTCCTCTGGGATGTGTCGGTCCAGATTCTCGCTCTGGACGCGGGCGGCAGAGCCACACGCCCGGCAGCTGCAGGCACGTCCCTCTTTCCACTTCTGGATGACCCTTTCCCAGATCTTTGGGAGGAACGTGGCCAGCCAGGGGACGCAGAATGATCTGGCGTCTCAAAATTAAGAGTCATAACCCAAGGACCCAGAGAGGCTGGGACTTAGATCTAGGGCCGGCACTGAGTAGCTCTGTGACCTGGGCTCACCGTCCTCGGGTGCACAGTCCAGCCTTTGCCCCCGTCCCGTGTGCATGCGGTTGCGCCATGCCTTCGTGAGCGCGTCCTGACGGGCTTCCCTTCTCTCCGTCCCTCCACAGCAACTGCATGGGAACAACATCCACTTCACCGATGGCTACGAGATCAAGGAGGACATCGGGGTGGGCTCCTACTCGGTGTGCAAGCGGTGTGTGCACAAAGCCACCGACGCGGAGTACGCCGTGAAGGTGAGGCGGGCGTGGCTAGGGCTGTGCCCCGTGCGAGAACGGTGCAGATGTGAGCACGGTGTGGGTGCTTGGCCGTGCACTGACCCTGGCAGGAACACCTGAGCCCCAGCAAATTGTCTCTCCGCTTGCCAGTTTCCACGCTCTGATACGATGGCGTTTAGTCTGCTTTGACATGAGGCCACCCGCTGAAAGATTGTTTTGCAAGTCATGAATATTTTCAGTGACATCCAACATGTAGGAACTGACCTCCTTTAGTAGCTTTACGTGTAATATATACCCAGAATAAAAGCTTCGTGTCCCCAGTATTTTGAGAACATGGAGTTGGGCGACAGGCATAGCATTTGGCAGGGGGAAGAGGGAAAGAAAAGAGAGAGAGGGAGGGAGGGAGAGAGGAAAACACAGCCACTCAAAAATAATCAAAGAAATACATAGAAGTGTAAACTGGTATTATTTGCAAAAACTTCAGCAGGGAGCGCGTCGTTTTAGTCCCAACCGTCAAGAACAGTACCTGGAAACACATCTGTGATCCAGCTTGACAGTCTGTGCGTAGTGCCTTTAGCTTCTGTAATTGCTGCTAGATTGAATGTTTGATCTGGGAATCCAGCGTGCCCATCTCTAGAGTTTTCTGGGTAGCAAAATGTAGATTAAAGGTAAAGCTTCCTGCTAATCAGAGTCCAGTGTATGAACAAAGCACACGCTACACTGTGCGTCCTCTCGACAAGACAGGGAGAGGCGCTCCAGACTCCACCGCGCTCCCCCGGGGCTGCGCTCCAGGCTCTGGAGGAGCGAGGTCCTCGCCGTGCCGCCACCGTGACTGGGACCATCCTGGCTTCTCCCCAAACACGTCTGCAGCACGTGGTGCTGCCCCAGCTCTTCCAAGAACATTTGGGGGGAGATGGAACCCGCCCAGCTGGGCAGGAGCATCAGAGGAGTAATTTTCATGAATTGTGATTTTCCTGAACTCTGAAAAGATTGTCCAAATCAGGGACTGCTGGGAAGTGACCCCATTCCATGCTGATTTGTTCACAGCTCCACTGCCGTTCTGTGAAAACGGAAGTTCTTTAAAAAGGTGGAGCCGCAAGTACTCTCTGGGCACGTCCACCGTGTGCTCCTTGCACTGGGCAGTGCCCGGCCTTGTCACAGCAGACAGCAGCCAAAACCTCGGGTCCCTTGGTTTAGTTTGGGTCAGGAATTTATGGATTATTGACAAATTTATCTTGAATTTCTCAAGCAAAAAAGAATGTTTAAGTCTGGTGGGGCAATTAGTTTGGGAGTCCCTCTGATAGTCTCCATGGTCATTCTGCCCAGTGTCGTGAGCACATGACAGGTCAAAGGAAGCAGAGGTGTCATGCTTTACATTTCCTGGGACACTGGGGTGGGACTGCAGTGAGGGAGGGTCACTGTCGTGCTAGAATGTCATCAGTGGCATTAGAGTGCCGTCTTGCTGTGAAGCGATGCCTGCTCCAGCACGTGGCACGGGGGCTTGGTGGACTTCTGGGATTTGGGCTGCTGGGGGGTTATTTTTTCTTGCTCTTCTATCTCGTCATTGGGACGGTTTGAAGGGTGGACACCTGCTGTTTCCCGACGCCGTCCCCATGTCCAGATGTAGCAGTGGTGGCCTGCGTTCCGCTCTAGACCAGAGTTCCACTTACACTTTGAAATGTACTCCACATTCGCTTCATAAGCGTGCATGGACTTCTTAGAATTTCTTCTGCGTGGGTCGTCTCTCACAGAATTTCTTTAGATTGTTTATCGGGTGGCCAGCAGCAGTCCTAGAAACAAACGCGGCCTGCCAGTGAGCGCAAAGACACAAGTCTATTGTTTGACCAGCTCTGTGACCGCGGTGCCCTTCCAGAAACAGCCCGCGACCGTGAGGCTGATCAGCGCCTGTTTTGTGCTCTGCGAATAAATCCCCCATTGACAAGGGCAGTGGTATGTCTCCTCCTAACAGCCCCATATCCAACTCTTATATAAAGGCACCATCTGAACTCAGCTTTGTTCAATGGCTTATAGCTCGGTGCCCAAGGACCTGCGGAGGCCAAACTCAGTGGAGTTTCAACAGCGGCTCTCCTGGGGACGGAGCCAGGCGCTGTGGCTCCAAGGGACAGTAGAAGGAAGAGCCACATCTTCCTGTTTCTTTTTTTACTAGCCTTGAAGTTCCCTGGACGAGTGTAGCTGGTGGGTGTGACGGGGATCTCGCTCATCCCCTCCGAAACTACAGGGGGGTCATAACTTCCCGTCGGGAAGATGCTTAAATTAACCCCACCCAGGAAGGAGCAGCGCCCGCCAGCCCAGGGACTTCTCAGTGAGATGCGGCTGGTGGCCCAGGTGGCCCTGAGGACCCGCGGCCCAGAGCTATTTCAGATAATGGGAGTGGTGGCAGGTTCGTTTCCCTAAGGGTGACACCCCTGTCCGTATTTCCTTCAGAGACGGGCCAGCTGGTGCCAAAGAGCTTCTTGGCAAAGGGCTGGACATTTAGGAGGGGCGCGGGTGCCCAGCGCTGCCTCAACACAGGGCAGAAACATTGCGATGGAAACATTGTTTGGCTTTCTCCCGGGTCAGCTCACTCGCTGACGAGCAGCAGCGTCCCCACTTACCAATGGGGGAACTAAGAAACCGCGAAGTTGAATGTTTTCTAGCGTAACACGGAACCAAAAATGTGGCCGTTAATCGTTGGCGTGGGAGCTGAATATCAACTCAGCACATGTCCTGCTGAGATTCGGTCCCCAGAATCCGGCTGTAGGCTCTCAGGTGCCCCTTGAGCGGCTTCCCGGCCCGGCTGTGCAAGTCCGCCCGGGGCTCGCGGTGGGGAAGGGCCCGCTGCGCTCAGAGGCGGTGCGGTCAGCGCGGGACCGCGCGTCCTCCTTGCACAGCTTCAGGGATGTTCGGAAGCGTTCCCCTGAGCAATGAGCAGAAAGAGAATGTGGCAGTCTTGACTGGCAGCGAGGACTGTGACCCAAATCCGGTGGTTTCTGCCGACGACAGTCATACCCAGTTGGGGGAATCTTGCCACCCAGGGGACACTGGCAATGTCAGGAGCTATTTTGGTTTTCACAGCTGGAGCAGGGGGTGCTACTGGCCTTGGCAAATACAGGTCAGAGATGCCACGTAACATCCTACAATGCACAGGACAGGCCCCAAGACCAGATTGAGAAGCCCGGCCCAGAGCATCCTTCTGGGTAGGGGTGGGTCCCGGGAGATAAGGTCCAGGAGACTGACATTGTGGAGACGGGGCGGGGTTTCTGGTGACTGTTTTAGTAGCAGGATGATAATCTGACCAAGAGCTCGGTGTTTGCAGGCGCGGCAGCGCAGCCCCTGGCTGCAGCCCAGCGGCGACACAGAGAGCAGGTCCGGAGGAGGGTGGGTGGCTCTCAGCCTCTGTGCGGGTCGGGTGCCAGGCCTGGGGGCTGCTGTGGGGCCACGGTGGTTCTCACAGCCCTGGAGTAGCATTACGTTTTTGCTTTAAGTTATTTCTGCATCTTATAGGTTCCTAACTTTGCCACCGTGATTACCCTGTCATCGTATAAACTACATTTAAGGTCATGCTTAAACCGAGTTACCCAAGGCCGTTCCCGGTCAACGAGATCACCAGTTACGTGTTTATTTGCAGCCACATTTTTAAATTGCGCCCCTGCTACGTGTGGGGCACTATGCTAAAGGTTTTGGGAAGTGATAACTGAAATTGGCCCTGAAATTAGTGAGACCGACTCTAAAACCTTTATTTAGCACAGTGCCCTGCGTGTAACCACAACGAAGTTCCCGTGGGTTGAATGAGAATCTGAATCCTAGGCCCGGCCCCTCCCTCTGGACTTCGGCCAGCAGTGCTAGGAGTCCAGGGTCCTCCTCCAGGACAGTGTGGCCTCGGGCAGGAGGGCAGGGTACGCACGCTCTTCCTCCTCACAAACACTGTTTTGGGATGGATCGGGTGTAGGGCACTGCCCGGCACCCCCAGCCAGGGTTCTCATGGTTGGATGAGAAAAGCTATTATGTTCTCTCAGAACTTCCTCTTTCTTTTATCAGACCTATTGTCACTGAACAGATGTGCCCTACTTTCTAATAACGGGGAGCCATTGCACTGGGACAGAACAGCTGAGTGCTCTAATGTAAGACTTGTCCGCCTCTGTTTGTGTAACCAGTCCCAGGAGGCAATTGTTAGACGAAATTGCACAGGACTTTGAAATAACGTGACGTGTAACCGCACAGATGTCCGAGCCTAAGGGCACCCTTCATTTACAATGAGATTAAAATGGAATTACCAAGTGTTCAAGGTAAATGTGGCTGAGTAGGATTGAAAGGAAGGGGAGAGATGTATTTGAAAGAAAAAATATTCTTATTTCATCAAAGGTGCTGTACTCACTTTGTAAGAATTGAGAGAGAGAGTTATTTATTTTTATTTTGTTCTTCAGTCTGTATGGGTTAGCGTAATCAGGTACATATTCTAGACAGTGCAGATTTGGAAGGCTTCCTGGCATTATATTGGTAGGGGAAATATATATGAATATGAAAATCTATGCAGTTGCCCCTTGAACAAGACAGGTTTCAATGTTGAGTGTCCACTTAGGCAGATTTTTTTCGATAAATGTGTTAGAAAATTGTTTGGAGATTTGTGACAATGTGAAAAAACTCAGAGATGACCTGCATAACCTAGAAATATCAAAAAAATAAGAAAAAGTCGGATATGTCATTCATGCATAAAATATGTAGATGCTAGTCTATTTTATCATTTACTACTATAAAATATACACAAATCTATTATAAAAAATTAAAATTTATCAAAACTTGCACACACAAACACAGACACTTACATGGTGTCATCTGCAGTCAAGAGAAGCATAAACAAATGTAAAGATGCACTATTAAATCAAACTGCATAAAATTAGCTAGTACAGTGTGTAGGGCTGAGATAATTCTCCTGTTACTGTTGTAGTGAGCTCATGTCTTGTGAGTATCCAGGTAAAACCCTGAGAGATGCTAATGATCTCCGTGTAAGCAGTTCATCT